AATTCGATAAAAACGTCTCGCACATGGATATTACGTAGATAGAACTAGATAGTATTTTACTTAACGTCGAACGGTTAGCATCGTAGGATAAGTAACTTAAGTAACATAGTTCCAAAGATGGCGCCAAAGGTACCCAATGTTGTCTTAAATAATGGCAAACTCTTGCCTGCATTAGGATTGGGCACATGGAAGGTAAGACTCATGTTTCTAATTCGAATTTAAACTAAATCATCTCAAATGTTTGAATTCGAATAAAATTTAAAATATGAATCTAAACCCATCTAAATAACTAGGACTCCATCAATTGACCGACACACTATTGATATTGCAAGGCGTACTTTTGTAGTATCGCATATTTTTTACTGATTATCATCACGGTCACTAATTAACCACAACACATTTTTTTAAATCTGTTAAATCTTCACTAGTCTTTAAAAAAAACATATTAAACTAGGCTCATTTAATTAACTTCAGTCGAAACCCGGCGAGGTAGCCCAAGCCGTAAAAGACGCCATCGATGCAGGATACCGCCACATTGACTGTGCGTTATACTACCTCAATGAGGAGGAGGTTGGAGCTGGAATCAAAGCCAAAATTGATGAGGGAGTTGTGAAGAGAGAAGAGCTTTTCGTTACCAGCAAACTGTGGTGCAACTTAATGAGACCAGACTTGGTAGAACCTACCATTAGGAGGAGTTTGGGGTACTTGAAACTAGACTATTTGGACCTGTATCTGATCCATTGGCCCACTGCCTTCAAGGTAAAGTTAAATGTGGAAAGTAGGTACCCTATTAACTTACACATATGATCAATGTTAAACTCAGAACTCTATGCAGGATTTGAAAATCATGTATAAAATATTTATTTTTATTTGGAAAAAATACGCTAATAATGTTTGGTTTACTCTGGATTAATAAATTTCCAATCATTAAAACCGCCACAAAAAATAAAATTCGTTAATTCCTAGCGTTTCTCCAAAAAACAAATTCTAGTTTTTAAATAAACTGGTCCTCACTGTACACGATTGTCTACTTTTTCACATATTTTATATAATATTTGGTTTAGATAAAAGCAAGAGCGAAGTACGTTTTACATCAGCATGTAAAATAGTCGTGAATTCTTCAATGCTAATCTACCCTTTCTATTAGAGTATAATCATGTATAAAATATCACTTATGATATGAACCTTGAAACGTAGAATATCAGAAGCTGTATGTAAACAGTTGTGATTATATAATGGAGATAATTAATCACACTAATTATGAATGACATATAATATTATTTAGCGCAATATTTCAAAAGATTGGATATTTCAAGAAATTGTTCGTACATGATCGCCATTTGACCACTTTCCGGGAGCAAAGTAATTTAAAATAGTATGTTACACTGGGTGTGCTAAATAAAATATTATAATATAAATCGAAAACTCTTATATTGGACATAATTCACTAATAGCAATCTATATCTTATGCATGCAGGTTGCTAATGAGTACTGTCTTCAGCATCAATTTTTACCATTGCATCAATTTGCCTCAAGTAAACATTAACACCGTAGCTATCGCGCGTCTCTCTTGTGAAAATTTTCACCTAGTTAGTCTCTTTATTCCTTATGCATAGTAAACTTTATGCATGTTGCATCGTACGCATTTAAACTACCACAAATTCGCCCTAACGCTATCTAAAATCATCATCCTTCCAAATGACAATGTTTACTAAGTGGAAGCAAGTTTCACAAAGTTTTATTTGTAATTTTGAGTTATTCTAATATTTAGTTTGCCAAAGAAAATTTTTTTAAAACATTTGCCCGTTCTCAAGTAAGCCCCTGTGTAGCCTTAAAATGAATGGGGCCAATTTTGAATCACCCTCAATACTATAATTTGCTGTAACGAACATTTTAAGAAGATTTCAAATATCGGAAAATATACAGGGCATCACATGTTAAATTCATTTTACTTCGATAAGGCCCCGATAACCCCGAATCCGAGAACTTTAGTGTACGATCTTGTTTGCTATTAACAAAAGTTTTCCAAAATAACAATCTGGTTTATAAAAGGGTAACATTCTATTGGAACTCAAAGTAGGCATGTGCTGCGTTACTTCATATTTGCGCCAAGTGAATAAAACACGATTACGTTCGTAGAATGTTAAAATGTTTGCAATTAGAAAGTATTTCAAGTGTATTATTTAATAGAGATTCTACAAATTATCATTCTAGTATGTACTCAGATTTATTTGCTGTATTTAAGAATTCTTATCTTTCAAGATATTTGTTTATTCCCGTGTAGTACTGATATGAAATTTATTTGAACTATTTCAGTATCTATTCAAAATTACGGAGCAATTTACTCAACACTTAAAAAGTTGGAAAATTTTCAAATTATACAGGGTGTCCCGTAAGCACATGATCAAAAGGGCACTGCTATATTATTTGGATCAAAAGAAGACGATCTGACCTAACTTTTCTTAACAAAAAATATCTGACTCCTCTGCTATGATCAAAGTTCTTCAAAAAAGTGAATTTGTTTTTATGAAAGACTCATGTTTTGTTGAAACAATCGAGTTCAGCCGTTTATGTGTGTGAGTGAAGTGGTGAATTCTTGAGTGTCGCGGTACAAAAACTTTCAGAACTTTTTATTTGGTGGATGGAATCAGCTATTTTTTGTTGTTGATGCACTAATCATTAATTCACAATTTTGTGCTTTTTGTAAAATCTTGTAGCATTCACAGTTTTTGCGCAAAAAATATGTCTGTTTTCTTGCCACTTAACAATGGTTAGACATTAACTGGAAATATGCGGCGCGTAAACGTGTACGCCTTCACGCAAGTTGTCTTCGCAAAACCCTAATACTTTGACCATGTCGGTCACTTCTTCATTAAAAAATGTAATTCGAAACAAATTTGTGAGATTGATTGACAATTAATTTATGCCATGCATCATGATATTTGCAGTTAATGTCACAGTTAATGTTTGTAGAATTTTTTTTTTTCGCAAAAACTATGAATGCTGCAAGTGGATGCTGCCAGTAATTTTACAAAGAGCACAAAATTGTGAATAAATAATAAGCGCATCAACAAAAAAAAAATAAGTTGATTTCCTCCACTAAATAACAAGTTCTGGTAGTTTTTGTACCACGACACTCAAGAATTCACCACTTGTCCATGTGTGTCCACTCGATTGTTTCATCAAAATATGAGTCTTACATAAGAACAAATTCACAGCAAGTTTCACCAAAATACATCGTACCATTCTCCCGATATTTCAAAAAAGATAAACTTTGACCATCCATAGTAGAGGAGTTAGACATTTTTTGTTAATAATAATAAGTTAGGTCAGATCGTCTTCTTTTGATGCAAATAATATAGCAGTAACCTTTTGACCATGTGCTTACGGGACACCCTGTATAAGCGAACCCAGACGGTAGAAGCACACGAAGAAATTCAATGAGGAGTTTTGTCATAGCCGTAATTGATATCACTCAACATGCAATCATACTGTGACCTTATAGCAGATATAAAATTATCGTTCTTGCCCAAGAATTTTGTCTACAATGAAGCTCTACTGCAGTTCAATACAGACATGATTTTCTTTCAAAGTAGCAAGTTTATTAGGAGTATGAACTTTATGTTTAATTTAAATTTGCTTTAAACGCTTAATGAACTGCCCGCAGTTTTTCAACGTGTGTATAATTTATGCGTTTTACACACTATCCATGTACTCTAAGATTATCTACTTTGTGAGTAAGTAAGCCTTAAAGCACTTCTAAAGCCAATGTGTTAAATACATATATTTATAGTCAAAGGCCATTTACTTTTAATGAGGTATTATTATGATCTTGAAAGTAGACTTTCCAAAGATATGTAGCTTTGGTATGATCGTAAATGAAGTTTATCAAGCTTAAAATCAGGTTGGAAAAAAGAAATCCATTATTTCTTCAGTAGATCGCTTTAGTAATCGATATCGTTATTTTCTAAAAAATAATTTAAGATTTGTACTTGGAGTGGCATTTGGCATCACAAAAATTATGTTTACTTTTTTTGTTAGGTCCATTCAGTTGTGACTTACAAGGTGTTCAAGAAGATATAGATATAAATTGAAGAAGATTTAGTATACTTTATAGTTTTTCTTTGATTAAAGAAAATTTGCACGCCAGGCGGTTCAAATTATGAATGGTCTTTAAGGCCCGGGTACTGTAACACACAATTATGCGAATTTTTCCGTCGTTTTCGTTTAGATGATTTTAGAGTTAAAGGTACTGTCTGTAGTGATTTGTCAGGAAGTCTTCGAGCTTGGTTACGAATTATTTTATGCACCCACCATATAGTCCAGACTTAGCACAAGCGATTATTATGCTTTTCTCTCTTTGCAAAACTTTCTGAAATAAGGAATTGCCATCAAGAGAATATTGTAAAATACGATTACAACAGTATTTTGCTAATAGGACTAAGAATTCTTTATTATGAAGCGACCTTTAAAATGGCAACAAACAACAACGAAACGGTATATATTTGTCCTAAATTGGACAATTTATTAAAATAACTCGTTGATAAAAGAAATTGTAAATGTAAATTTTTGACAGCTTAAAAAAATTAATTATATTTGCTCCAACAATTTCATAACAATTGTCCGCTTTTATGCGCAAAATGAACCCAAACTAATGACCAAATTCAAATCATCTTAAAGAATTCTCTTAAGGTGTCTTAATTGAAGATCAGAAAGCTGAAATTTCTATATCCAGATTCCACACTCAGCTTTAAAATGTTACTTTATAGTTTTACTTAATGAACTTGCATTTTTAATTGTTGTTTTCTGTCGTTTTCAGCAAGGAGAAGAATACACTCCCCGTGGACCGGATGGAAAAACTTTATACGGTGACATTGACTATGTAGACACATGGAAAGCTTTCGAAGAACTTCAGAAGAAGGGCCTAACTAAATCCATTGGCGTCTCCAACTTTAACAAAAGACAACTGGAAAGACTACTTAAGAGCGCCACGATCAAACCAGTAACTAATCAAGTAAGCATTTTAGATTTATTAGCTCACTATTTCTTATTGCAATTACATCGTGTTTAGGTTGAATGCCACCCCTACTTAAACCAAAAGAAACTTACTGCATTTTGTAAGTCGCTGGACATCGTCATCACTGCTTACAGTCCTTTGGGATCACCAGACAGGCCGTGGGCTAAACCTGGCGACCCGATCCTAGTGAAGGAACCAAAAATCTTAGCTTTGGCTGAAAAGTACAAGAAAACCCCAGCTCAAATAATTTTGAGGTGCGCAAATCGGATAAGTAAATGAAAAACTATAAATTTATTTTAATTTGGTGTTTCAGATATTTGCACCAACTTGGTGTGGTTCCAATTCCAAAGTCAGTCACCAAATCTAGGATAGCAGAAAATCTTGACATTTGGGATTTCCAGCTGAATCCGGCTGATGTTGCTGTTTTAGATACATTTGATTGCAATGGAAGAGTTTGCCAACATTCAGAGTAAGTATTCAGAAGCTGGAATTTAATTTTTACGAAACTATCCCCAATAAGTGGCGCCTGAACATTCCTTCTAAATCTGAAAGGATTATTAATGTTATACGCACTAATATAATAAATACTAATAAAACGCACTGCTAATTTAAACCGCATTTTTTAGGGGCGCTGGGCATCCTAACCATCCATTTGAAAACGATGAGTGGTAAGAAGCATCTTTACAAAACCTACCCCTCGAGATCACAATGGAGCGTTATCTTTGTGTTACAACTGCCTTCTAATATAGATTACATTTTTTTTCAATTGTTCTATCTATTGCATTTAACTGTATGTGTAATTCTACCAAACAACTAAAGACTACTGCATAGACTTACTGGTTTTTATTTCATGTCGAACATTCCGTTTTGTACATCAATTTAACCAACATATTTCAGAAATTATTTGCCTTAAAACTATAACTGAAAATATGCAAAAATATTGGGTTGGCAAAACAACAAATCGGAATCGAAAGTTCAATAGTATTGTATCTGACGTTTCGCTCGCATCTTCGCCGGTTATAAACAACTACTTGATGCCATAGAGAAAATAAAATAATTATTTTATTCCCTATTTTAGTTATTCTATGCTTGATGCTCTACGGTCTCTCTCAAAAATAGGCATGGGTAACTGATTGCATTTTCAGGAGTTGACGCACTGAAGCCGATATGGCTTGATGCGCCAACCCAACACACCGGCACAGTAACTCACCGGTGCAGTTGCGTTTCAGTCATTCATTTGGCAAAATGTTGCTCCTTAGAAATGTAGTGACTTTTTTTACTGTTAGGTGTTAAAATTGCTTAAAGCTTTTACCCGCCTCTGGGTTAAAAGGTAAGCGTCATTTAAAGTGCGGCACATTGAGACGGGATGAGTTATATCAAAGACTCAGAAACGAAAAATACTCTACAAGTTTAGACTTGTGCGTTCAGTAAAAAAGAGAAGTTAAAATGTCGTCAAAATTTCTTCAAACCTACAAAAATTAATTCAAATCACATAAAATCCTGAATTTTTCGTGCTTCGTAAATATTGAATTGAAAATGAACGCATTTACGCAACTGCAGACTCTTCAATAACAAAAATCCAACTTCCAAAGTAAAGCCAGTACTAACTTGAACGATTGACATAATAAAAGTGTTTTTAAATGAAATTTCGGAACGTGCACTTAAATGTCCGATATTCAAACTTCGTGTGATAAATCTACCAACATTTACTAGCGCACGTTGTTATAACTGAATCGAATGACCAATTCTCTATGCAATGATATAAAAGCAAAATCTGTATCAAAAGCAAGCTCAAATGCTTCTTGAGCAACGTCGACAAATGCGACGTCATGTTTCAATAAAATAATATTGAAAGCGGCGTAGTGCCACCTGGAAAGAAAGAAAATGTGTTTAGTACACCAGGAAATCTTTCCAATGCCAAACTTATCTGAAATCAGTAAAGCAAAGAGAGAGAAATATAGAAACTCAAATCAAGTTAAAAAATTTACAGATTAGAAATAATTCTTACCAGCTTTCTGCAAGCTGGCGCCCCATCCTCCATTGTCTAATCATTAATCCTTGAAAAAGTCACTTCGAATGGAAAACTTTACTTGATACTGATATTTTGACTTAATCTTGTGCATCATTGACGTGCCGCAAAGTAAAGTTATTTTTTGTTATTCCTTTTTTCCGCCATAAACACCCCTCGCATTCACCCTTAAACTAATGGTGCGCGGTGGCGGTCAGTGCGTTCGGGTTAGAGGGTGGTGCGGGGGTGCGGTCGGGAAAAAGGGATCGTACGGTCAGTCCTGTAAACCAGTCCCGAAGGAAACGCGTACGAAGACRGTCTAGGGTACGCCAAAAAGAAGGCTACCGACGCCACGCCATTTTGTTYTTTTTTKTKAGTGCTGGATTCCAAGGAAATCCAGTTTTTTCCGGAGCATCCTTGCTCCTTGATCCCCCGGAAAACCGGTGAACCCACCGCGAGACTATTGTGCGCGCCCGGAGACCAGACTATTTGCCCGCCGCAGTACGTGGGACAATTGTGCGCGCCACAGGTACTCGAGCCATAGATTCCCGTAATTTTAGTTTATTTTATATATTATTAATTGTAGTTGGTTGCAGTTCTGTTTGTTCGGTGTGGTTTTGTTGTTTGTTTTGTTTTCTTTTATTATTGGTAGTTCACATTGAGCGCAGAATCGCGCGCAAGCAGGGGGGTACTACCCAAAACAAGTACCTGGCATCCCTACGCGCCGAACTAATTTTTTTGTTTAAATCTTAGTTTTATTGTGCGCATCCATCACCTTGTCATGCAGGGACAAGGTCGTGATTCCCGCTCTCCACAAGAGGAGACAGAGGCGCCCTCGAATGGAGGGGGAATCTACGCTACAATCATATTCAAATTTTGCCTTTTATTTCAAGTTGGAAAATTTCATGTTAAGTAACCAAGAGCTGAATAGGAACTAAATTCACACTATAACTAAGCTACTAATGTGGCAATCTTTAATTTTTGTCTCTTTAAGCTTTAATCAATCAATCAAAATCAAAGTGCGGCGCAGTGAGTTATAACTCATTAGCGCACAGATTGGCAACAATTCAAAAGGCTAACTCAACACAGTGTTACCCATGCCTACTAAAAACTATATTAATGAGTGTTTAAAAGAGATCGATTTTGCTTTCGATATACATAAATGTATAAGTTATGTCACATATAGATAAATTACTGTGAGTGATTGAAATATAATTGTTTTTTTTTTAATAAAACGATTTAAAAACCTAAAGCAGTAAAATGTGGTATGATCTCGAGTCCTTTGCTTTAAATACTTCATAATTATTACTTTGAAAATTTTTTTGTGGATTAATCCAAATTATAGACTGCGACTTACACAATTTATTTAAAAGGTACACATTCTCCTAATTTAAAATTCCCTTTATTTGACATCTCATATTATTATTATATTTATGTAGTATAATTAATATTAATTTATCAAGAAAATTAAACCGAGTATTAGAGTGAAACGTAAATGAAATGAAAAATTGTTCGCAATTTTATTTCATTTGCATATGCATAGTTAAAAATAGTACAAAATGTGGACCAACGTTATGTGTCTTATACTCGATTTAATTGAACTATGTTAAAGGTATTTCAAGAATTTACTAACTTCAAACTAAAAAGTTTCCAAAAGAAAAAAGGATATATAGAGATAATTAATACAAACCAAATTAGGCATATATTTAAATACATGTTTGGAAACTTTTTGGCAGTGTAAACATTCTTTACTAAAAAGTTATATCAAAGCAAATAAAACCGCTTCACTCATAGTATTTATGCAATAACAAATAAGCTAAACAGAATTAACTGACTGAACAGATATACAAAATGAACATTAATGTATAATTTGAAATTAAAATGACACCAACTATTAACAACTTGAACATATTATTCGATTCCGAACATTTGCAAAAATATCAGTTTAAAATGTTAAAAAAATAATAACCCGTATACATTTTTAGAGCCTCGATAGTCTAGCTTGAATACTTCTAATATCATCGACCAGCATATCGCTATTAGCTTTACTATATAGATTAGATAATAATGTTGCTATTGTGTCTTGGAACATTGCCTTCAGTTTTCTCCTAAAAGAAAGTAATTTTAATTTGGGGTAAAATAAATCTTCAATTGCTATATGCAAACATTTTCAAGAAAGACTGCTTTCAGTTCATGTAGTACGTTAAATAACACTTACTTTTCGTTAGCCCCATACGAGTCGTAATCATAAATGAACGATGTTACTAATGCAGTTATTACTTTATACAAGTGGAATTCATTATCCTCACTTTGCCAGAAATCCAGATTAATGGAAATAGTGAGTAAACTGAAAATAGTGATTTATTAATATTACCGGGCAAATACTTTTTAAAATTATATCATTACTAACTGGAAAATCTCAACCCAAGAGTTAGAAATCACTTACTGGCTGTAAACTTGAATCACTTTTTCAAGTGGAATATCTGCAAACTTTAGACAATTTGGTACTGCTAGTTTATTCGATGTTTTCAGTTTCGCGTTGACCATTTCCAATTCCCCTACTAGATAGCCTGAATACAATAGCGATTATTTAAAAAGTATTGTTTAATACTAATTAATCAAAAGCTACGAATCTAACAAAGAGTCAATATTTACCTATCAAAGAGAGTAAATATGTACATCAAAATATAGATTATAAAATATGTATTTTTTATTCCGTAAGTATTTCCAGACATCCAGAGATATTCTGCCAATTTTGAATTGCCCCGTATATTTTCAAACTTACTCAGTGGGAAGCAGTTATTAGAATTCGCATATCGCTTGGCTAATCCTTTGACTTTGCTCATTAATTGAGACATGCGGTCATCTCCGCTTCCAGATGACTTTCTCAGCTCATCGGCCAAAATTTGTTGCCAGATGGATTTAATCAAATTGTCATCGTCGGTATAACCAGCACAGTCGATGATAGCTAATTGACATTCGAGCAAGTTGAAAGGATCGGCAAAGTTTTCGTAGAGCTGAAAACAATAGTATTTACTTTATTAATTTAAAACTTGTTTATTAATGTTTATGCTCTACCTGAGATATTTCGTAAAGTCCACTATTTAATGCAGCCACGGCTTCGTCAGCATTTGGAACTTGGCCACTTAAATTGCTTATTTCTTCTAAAATTTGCTCTTGAACACGAGCAACTTCCATTTTGTCTTCCAGATCCCTGAGAAATACTCCTAGATATGGGGCATAGCCACTCTTGTCACTTCTCATGCACATGATCGCCCGCGCTAAGTAAGTCAGTCGTTCCCTCAATGTTAAACTGGTACTAGAAGTAAAAAATAAGTTAAATTTTGAAAATGTCTGAAATAGTGGAAGTGTCTACCCAGTCTGTGAAGCGAGGCTATTTAAGATCTTCGCTGCAGCAGCATGATTATTATTGCTCTCATAAAACTTCCACATCAAATCCATAATAGAAATATTTTCAGGATTCTGAAGTGAACATCGTTTTAGATAATGCTCCAGAGAGGGTTTGTTTATTTTAATTAGGTCGCTTGTCATCTGTTTGGTTGCCATCCAATCGTATAAGGCTACATGCATCAGTTCATCATCGTAAGCCAGGATTTCATCAATTACTTGCTGTATCTTAAAAAATATACAATTAAATATGATTACTTCTACTTCCATTGAAAATTATTTACGGTCCAATTAAGTCTTGTACTTTCCATTCCATCTAATATAATTGACTTTTTATCGGCGTAGTCCGACACTTGTTTTGCAATGGGTACCGGGTCTTGTTCGTTGTAAATTGCTTCTAACATACCAACAATTTCCCGATATATTTCCATTCTGAAATGTGTTTAAATGTAAAAAAAAATGATTTAAATTAAAGTGTAGTGATATACAGGATGATTCACAACCGTGTGAACACAAAGTAGGGGCGTGTAGAATACCTCAAACCAAGTCCAGTTGCCATTTAAGTTTTTTTCTCAGGCCCATGGTTAACGAGATACAGATGTTTTTCGTAAAACCAAGTTGTTTTTCTTAAAAATGGCTGGAAAATTTGCATTCAATGAGCGAGTTGATATGCTATTAGTATTGGGGTTTTGTGAGAGTAACTACCGAAGAAGTGTGGTGAAGTACCGAAGAAAATTTTCAAATCGACAAACGTTTCATAATGTTGAACGGAAAGCTCAGAAGACGGACCCTTTTACTCCTGACGTCTTAAATGGCTCCAGACTATTGCTGGACTACTAGAACTACAAGCGAACCAATAGGAAATTGGAATTTGCCGATATAAAAAACCCCCAAAAACAAATGTTTGTGTTACTAGTAAAACTGGTTAAAAATCTACATATTCATAAAAAACAACATTTTTATTTACACTTTGGCAATCTGTATCTCGGAATCTATTAACTTTCGGATAAGACAAATTTGCCTGAAATGCAATATTTTTGCCTAAGCAATGTCAGTGAATTTTTGGACATTAGTTAAGAACCACCCTGTATAGAAAATGTATGGAATGGTATCAGTAATAATTGTACCTTTAAAAAAATGGCATTCAATTATTGGATAAAGCTGACATTAATTATCCGCAAAGGGTTCATTTATGCTTAAGAGAAAACGGAGCGGGAGCATATTCGTTATATTTTTGTGAATTTTTATTTGGATTGGCTTACAGCCGATAAACTTCAATTATTGTAAATTAAAGTAAAAACAAGGACACAAAAAAGATTATAAGAAAATTCAAAGAAAATCACTCAGAAACCCTACGAGGACTTATGTTTGTGCAAATATCGCGAAAACGAAGGCAGATACAAAAAAACTACAAGAAATTAAAAATTCTTAAATTGAACAACAAATTCAACAAATTGTTCGGACGAAGTCAGGGACGTACCACAAAAAAGTTCGGGTGATATGCTCTTAGAAAAAAAAACACCCTGTAGATTTTCGCAACCAGTTGGCTTACCTACGGGTAAGGGTAGACCCCTTACCCGTAGGTAAGCAACAGTAGATTACGTCCAAAAGAAAAAGGCCCCAGAAAAAGAAAATACCAATATTTTTTAACAACTTTAACACCATGTATCTCGTTAACCATGGGTCTGAGAAAAAACTTAAATAGAAACTCGACTTGTTTTGTGGTCCTCTACACGCCCATGCGCTCTGTGTACATAAGGTTGTGAGTCACCCTGTATAAACAGTACAACTATTTAGCCTGATAAAATAGTAAATTTCGCAATATTGTAAATAAGAGTTAGACATATTACTAGATCGATCATCACCTACTGACCCAGATTGAATGAAAAATCTTTCTCGTTTCGACACATCGAGATACTAACAACAAAATTATGTTACGGAATTTCTTTCGCCTTCGCATATTATTAAGATACCATACATTTTGATTGCATTCGATCAACCGAATGTAGGTGCCTTTTAGACGGTTTCAAAATCAAAACACCTGAAAGAGGGTGAAGCTCTGTTCTCACCTTATTTTTTTTCCAAAATAGTTACAACAAATTTACAGTAGAGCATAGTAATATTTCATGTTCAAAAACAAGAGAAAAAATTTCCATAATAATAACAATTTTAAACCAAATTTTAATCGATTTTTTGGATTTGCTTTTATTTTTAAATCCATGCTTAACTTGATTTCTCCTATAAATATTTTCAAAATATAAAGCTCACTCACACACTCAGATCAGATTGATCCCCAAAATCCGCTACAAGTCCCAGTTCTTAATAAATAAATAAGTTGCTCGATTCTTACCGCCTCTGATACATATTCGTACCATCTTGATCACCGGTTGTTTCGTTACTGTTGAAATAGTTCTCAGCTACCTTGTCAGGATCTATCTTCCTACCACAATGGGAGCAAAGCTCAATAACCGCTTTGTATGCTTTTAGAGAAACGAATTGCTTGCAAATTTCCGGTAGATTGACGTTGGGAGCAATATTTTTGCACAGTTGTAATGCTGAAGTTAACATCACTTCCTTTTCGTCCATGTTTTGTACGGCTCTGGTGGTTTTTAGAAGCTCATTAGCCTAGAACCATCAAGCCATAGGCATGAAAACTGAATAAACCAGGTGAATGGTTTTAACATTTTACCTTCGAAAATGCTGCGTCTTCCGGTCTATACAAATGTGGACAAACTTCCATTAATTTATTACTAATTGAATCTACAGATGCGTTGTCTCCTAAATAACTATCCACTAAAGTATTTATCAAAATGTTACAAATGTCCCGTCTATAAAGGAACAGTTCTTTGAAGGTGGTGTTTTGAAGAATCTGTTGCTGATTTTCAGGTAACGCTCCTAAAAACACAAATTTTAAGTTGTTACTATACAAAATATAGTACTGATGTATCACAATCCAAGTTGATAAATTTCTGGAAAGTTTGAAAATAGTATTTTCATAATGTCATTATTATCGTCACCAATATTATAAACCATATTTTTGGTTAATAACTATTTATTTTACTTACCGACTAAGTTATGCAACTGATGATCACACAAAATTCTCCACAATCCAACAATTTGGCAGCAGTGGCACACAAATGTTTTAAGCGCATCCAGAGACTGTTTCTCTTCTAATTGAGCGTCTTGTTGGGTGGGATTTGCAACGGTAAAATTCAGCGCAGGAGAACTGTATAGAGCAGCTTGATGCGTAGTAGTTACAGCTGAAGACAACTGAGTGTTCAACTTAAGGAAATTATGCAAAGCATTCAAATTGCTCTGAATTTGCAGACAATCTTCGACAGCAATAGAGCTAGTATTCTAAAAATACGACTTATATTCCGATGCCTATCTACATGCATACATTGAAATTTACCATAATATTTTTTCCATCGGTGCAAATTCTCTCTACACATCTTTTATTCCATAGAGGTCTTAGAATTCTGCCAAGGTATAGGTATAAACCATTGTGCTTGGCAGAGTAATTCACAAAATTGCTGAGATCTATTGCAGTTTGTTGCCTTATTGGTTGAGAAAAACTTGTTTGGATACCTCCAGCCGGTTGATAAGTAAGATTCGAATAACCGTCTTGTTGAGTTGAAACTACGGAAGAATGAGGTGAAAATGCATTGGAAGGATGTTGTGGAGCTGGAGTAGAAATTATGTTTGGAGAGAATATGGAGGTGCCTGAAACTGAAAATAAAACTTAAAAAAGTAAATACACACCGGAAACAAAATGCTTACAAATGTTGGTTTGATTTAACGGAGCGACTTGCGGTTCACCACCAAACATAAAAAATGCTCTAGTAGCAAGTTCGGCAACTGGGATGTTTTCTTGGCTCTCCAATGAAGCCAGTATTAAACTAGTGGCACAGGCTTGAGTTTCTTTTTGCATAGTAAAAAATGATTTTAAAGCTGCGGTATCTTGACCTAACGAATTAAAGACAGAATAATTCATTGTTTTTTCGTTTAACTCATTACAAAAATTACCGTGACTCTCCTTTAATATCTGTCTTAAAAGATCTACTGGCCTTTGCTTAACAAATATTTGAACACTATGCGATGTTAAAACTACATATTTCTTTGGTGCCTCAAAATGTTGACGTACCATTAAAGGAGGTTCCTCTTGGAACTCAGAGCTTAAGTGAAGATAGTTATCATGACGAACCTAAGAACATAATATGGTTTAATAGGCGAGTTCTTCATGCGACATTGTCAGCAATAGACAAACATTTTACCTCAGCTAGTGCTAAAGCTGGACCATCCAAACTAATTGTATTATATGCTTCCATTAAGCTGGAACTAAATGGGAATAGATCTGAACTCATACACCATAAGACATCTTTGTCTTTTACATTGGAGATTAAAACTAAATTACGATCTCTAAAAAAATGGTAAAATTACAATCCAAAAATACTCAATCAGCACATTTTTGTTCTTCCTTGCATCAAGTTAGTAATCCATAAAGCGCTTTAAATAACTGCTATAAGAAATAAACTTTCTTAAACAATGCAGAGGGCACGATATGCGTCAATCACCAACAAAATATTCGTAAATATAACTATATTTTCATCTCTACTTTTCCAAATAACACCATTGAAATTTTATTTTTGATTGCTGCATCTAATTTCACATTGCACTACGCCCTGTGTGTGCCTTAAAATTTACGAACGAATATTTTGACACGGACCAATTTTGATTGCGTTCCTGGACAGAATTTTAAAAATCATGGAAGGCATATACTTTTATTCATAGATCTAACTAGAAAAGTTTAACACACAAATTCATGTTTTCCTTTTAAACAGTAAGGAAATTTCCTTTTTAACATCAAACTGCTTAGATTCCAATCAAATATTAAACGGTAAACAATAAAAACTGATGTTTTTACACATGTAAGGAACTACCCTGTATGTATGCAATTGCATGGAACAAACTAAGGTCAACGAATAGTACGTAACGTAAGTTTGTGACTTACCTGTAATGAGCCATATGAACACTTCTAGGCCTAACTGTAACATTAGCAGAATAACCAGGCGGCAAGCGAACATGTACTAGAGTCAAAGTATATGGCCTTTGGTTCGGTTGCTGATTGGACAATCCGACAACAGATAAGTAGAATCTAACGCCTGTTTGTGTAATAGCAACTAGATTTAAGTTTCCAGACTCGTATGATTCTACTGGCGAAATGCTAATAACAGGTCGGAAATTTTGGCTATCCAGAGTTCTAAAGAAGGTCAAAACTTATTAATCTAATAAAGTTAAAATCTTTTCAAAATATTTACTTGACGGTATTCATTGCTTGGCTAACTAGGGTATTCTGAGACACTTTGGTGATTCTAGAAAAACCAGTGCCTTTTACGCCCAAGTCACATACTTCTATGGATCCTTTTTCCGTTAAAGTGAACAAAATGTTCCGGCTATTGTCTATAGCTATTTGAACTATACTGTCTTCCTCACTTAAAGCTGCATTCAGAAAGGACGGCACAAGGAATGATAAGACACTTGTGGAGAGATTTACGATTTTACAACGTTTACCAAACCATCCACTATGAGCCTACAATAAAATCCCGAATAAACTATCAATAAAAGTGTGGTTCGTACAACTTTATATTACCTGATAAGCTATCTCAAATAAAGAGCCCTCCTTAGTACCAAAAAACAAACGGCCGCTGTGAGTGGTGGCAATGGTAGTAACTGTGTTCCCATCAGTTGGAAGGGTAAAAACTGGATCAGGAATTAAATGAATTTCAGCTTCTCCATGATTTGCTGCAATCCCACTTATCAAATTTCTGATTTTATTATTCAAATACTATTATTACCTTCGGTAAATGTAACTCCCAATACTATAATATCCACAGCAGTAGTTAGCACTAGCAAGTATTTGATAAAAGCATGAAAAACTCCCGGTTTCGGTTTCACAAGTCCCACGCATAGAATTGTTTCGTTTATTCCATCGAAATAGGCCAGATCAGTGTTTTCTTCATACGTCCATATGTATATATCACTGTCCACCGTTAGCCATGCACGATTGATTTCCGGAAATAAACCCATCATGCAGTGGCATTGAACATCTAAATTTTATTAAGGAAAACGGTCTGGGAAATATTTCCAAACATACGTTTAAAAATATATTTAACGAAATAATACATTTTAAATGAAACAACACATCTGAGCTAGCAAAGCACGTACGGATATAAAACGAAACTATAGGACAAAACTAATAACATTTGAAATGAAAATACGTTTTTCTTATCTTGGACCAACAGTTAGACTCGCCCTAAGTAAAAAATTATTAAAGATAATAGAATGGTTTTAAGAGCAAGTTCGCTTTTGCCAAGGAATTAAACAACCACCATCACACAACTCAGTTAACCGTTTATTTTATTTTTACTTGATTATTTTTATAGGGAGCTTTAAAATGCATTCAAAAAGAGTGTATATATAAGGAACGATGATGAACTAATAATTACAGTGCGTTACTATAATTTCATTACAATCTTTGAAAGGGCTTAAACGAAAATCGCTTGCAACATTTTGCAACATAAGTAAATAATATAAAAAAATATTTTTAAATTAAAATTGCATTTTTCAATATTATACAAGCTATTTAAATGTACGAATAGTATTTCCACTTGATGCGGCGAACTATAACGGTAAATATCGAAAACCAGACACCGTTTAGCTGTACTTCTTTTTTAGTCCAACAGGGATAAGTTACAAATATTAAAAATTTGCCGCCGTTATTTCCAAGCCCTAAGTACAATTATTCCAGAAACCCACGTTTCTGTTCTCATTAAGATTAAGATGGATCACCCTTGCTCTTGGGTACCAGTGTTGCCGCAACTTAGTTACTAATTACTAGTGAAATATGTAGAAAATAAAATGAAATTTGGAGAATCCAAACAGCTACTTGAATCAATGAAAAGTTTGATAATATTTGGAATACAACAATAATATTAACCAGTTAACCAGGCTTGAACATCGTTTAGACGCTCAAGCCAATGTTGCACCTTCAAGCGATTTTCTGTTAGAATAGATTTCACTCAAGGCAAATTTTTCAGTTTGCGCAATCTTTAAGCCTTTTTTACGCCAACGATTTGTTTATGCAGCGTGTAGACGGCCTCTTTAGCCTAATATTTCAGAAACATGCAAATGGTTTGTTAAGTGTGTTGTGCAAAGAATCCATTATTGTATATATACAAAAGAATATTGCATATTATGCATTTTTTGATGCTACCACGAAACATATAATACAATATGCAAATACATGTTGCAAATTTAAAGATAACAAAATTGGACCATGTATCAGACAGTATAGACCAAATAAATTGGCACAAAATGTGAGAATTTGTTCAAATTAGTTATAAATAAATGCATATTTGTATCAAAACTTATTAGGGTTTATTGGCCATAATCTAGTTAAATTATTAGCATCTTCAACATAATAAATCTAAATTTTATTATAAGGACAGTTTTATTGCCGTCTTCAAATTGTAGTAATAGAAAGCTAAGACGAGATTATAAGAAAATGTCTGTTCTTTTGTGGCTGTTATTAAAAGTCTTAGTTGATAGCTGTATGCTGCAAGGGGTATAGTGTATCATTGTTATACGTGGGCAGAAAGAAGTATTTGATCTATAGCGCCTTTCGAACGAAATAAAAATTATTATTAAGTATTATCATTATTCAACTTCTCTGTCCGAGCATTAGTAACTATATGCATATCATTTTTTTGTAATAAAGTATGTATAAACATGTATGTAAGTATGTATAAACAACACATACAAAACTTCGATAAATGTATGATTTAGCAAAAGTTACCACTTGGGGAGTTATTAATATATTCCGTATTTAGTTTCTGATCTGATGAAAAGGATACGACTGAAGTGATCCACAATTTCTCCAGGAAGCGGTATGTTATTAATATTTTTCACCTGCGATAAACTGTTGAGAGTTCCAGGAAAACCGCTTAAAGAGGGGTAATCCTGATCTACCAAACCACTGGCTGTTGAGCCGGTTTGTGCATTGATGTTCAACAAGTCTATTAGCTTTGGGGAGCTGCAGTCCATGGCAAGCGACCTGTCCACATTTCTTGCAGCAATTTCCATTTTTTGAATGGGAATTTCCGATTCCATTCGTTGGTGGATTATCGAATGAGCATTTATCATTTTTAGGCTGGTGGAAGTTTAAATTATCTTTATAACCTAAAAATGCTGGCGGCGTTTCTTTACTGCTTTGCTGCCGTATAATAATCGTTCATGCTTCGCCCAATTATCACAAATTTGGGATTTTCTAGTTCTAGGAGTTACTAAATATGATTAATAAAGGCACAAACGTCGAAGATTAGCAGGTAACAGAAAACAGAGAGATTATAGAGGTTGAATCTGAGGCTCGTTTTTGAATATTGACGTTTATGACTTTGAACAGTCCAACAGTGGTGTCTTAGGAAACAGTAGACGCATTAAACAAATCTCTACCGATGCTGCCAATTGTTCCCTGTTCCTCGTCACGTGAAGGAAACACCACATTTAAAAGATAGAAAATCGTTGATACGTTCTACAGGGTGATTCATTAAAAATCTAAAATCTTGCTAAAAAATTGGCGAAAAAATTCGTGATCCGAAAGTTTAGATTTTCGAAAAAACAGGGTGTTAAAAATGGTAATTTTAATTCGTTTTTTGCCATTATTTTGAAAATACCTGGGCTGGCAATCTGAAGTTTTATGACGATAGTTTTTTTCAGATGGCGAGTATGATGGATATTGCAATTTCCCCGTTGCTCGTAAGGGTGCTGCTTGCGACCAATATTGCCGACATTTATTAAAGTTAGAACTTTTCGTCACCTTGTAACTGTAACATCTCACATTCAGTTCCAAATCTAAAAGACAAAATTTTTCCATAAATTAAGCATATTCTTGTTTCATATCGATATACACCGGGAACCGCCGCGATCGAAAACTTGCAAGCTGTAACTAGGAACAATTTCAAAATTGCAAGCGACATAAAATATTTTCAAGATGGCCACACAGCCGGTTATACCGGAAGTAGATATCAACTTGCTTATTTTAAATGGAACACCCTATATATTATTCCATTTTTGGAATTGGAAGTCTAACCGTTTTTTATATATTTGAAATTTTATGTAAAAAATCACAGATACATCCACTCAAATAATTACTGATTTTTCGTATGAGGGAATATGTGTTATTTAATCTGAGTCGCATTTCTTGCTGAGAAGGACTTACTTTAATGGAATTGCGACAAAATTTTGATAACTATTAATACTAAGTGTTAAAAAAATAAGTTTCAAAATGACGATGAGAAGAACTAAATCAATTTTTTCAAATGGAAACACCCATTTTTGATAATTTTATCTTATTAAATATTAAAAATATGGGTAAGTTTGTGTAAAATTTTCTATTCCAAAAGTGTTTAGTTTTCCGAAATATCGTTAGTTTAATGTTTTCATATGGCTTTTTTGCCGCATCTCATTTAAATCCTGTCACTGGCTTAGTTGCCATGACGAAAGTGGCCGTTTTTAATACAATCGAATATGCCAAAAGAATGTTTACATCTGTCAGTTATCTTTTGAGAATAATTAATAATCATGCCCGGACGCTTAATTTATACAAACAAAGATTATTTAAAAGTGGGCACAAAACACATGTTCTTGATATAACTTTCACATTCTCCATAAATAATAAATAAGTTTAAATAATCTTCGCTTGCATAATTTGGTTGGTTAATGGTCTGGGCACGATTAGTAATCATATATATGATAGCACAAACAGCACAATATATATATATAAATAATCTTTATTTCCTACAGAAAAAGGCTATCGACCCAACGGTCTTTCTGCCCTTGTTTAGTATATATGTGCCTTAGCCTAGCTTATTCTAAAATTAATTCCTATTCCTAACGTTCGTATAAATTAATCAGCTATACAAAGAAAATAAAAAAAAGTAAAAATTCCTGGCTTACAAAACAAACAGATATTAGTCCTTAGTTCAGTTGCGTTTGTAGGTGTTCTAGTAAAGTATCTGTTGGGGAACGAAAACGGGAGTGTTTTGTCGGTCTTGTGAGGCAAAGGGGATTCAGTATGGTCCAGTTGTGGGGGTTGTTTGTCCATTTTGTCTGTAAGTGTATTAGTCTTTCCGAAATTTTTGTCATGTTTGTGCGTTCGTATAGTAGTTGGTTGGAAGGGTTGTCCAGTGGGTTTTGGGGGTGTCTTATTCGTGTTATTAGTCTTAGTGCAATTTGTTCTGTTGTTTGTACGTATCGTTTTGTCCTTTCTGTTCCGTTGG